AATCAATTTGTGCCGCAGTAACTATCGTATTATCAAGCAGCTTTATTTGAGTCAATTGATTAGCAGTACTAGACCCTTCACATCCACGACGGAGGCGGGATTCTTTTTAATTGGAGTGTTGTTGTCCCCCTAATAAAGATATTACTAAAGGTGAAAGTACGGGCCATATCTACCCATACCCTCGCCTTACATCATTTTTTAGTGTTTGCACCACGTCGTTGGTACATTAAGACCTGGAGACACTATCGTTGGCAAACCTAGAATAGCATGAAAAGACAGGATCTTCGAGCAATTTTTGATGAAGGAACATGACAGCGTTCTTTTACACTTCCTTTCACGACCACGAACGACACAATTTTCAGAGGTGATTTAAAGTCAGTTAGACTCTTACCGGAATAGCGGTATCATTTTGAAGGTCAGTGGTGTTTCGCATGCGGTAAAATTTCAACTTCGTCACATTGTTCGCTTCACTCGCGTTCATGAGCATCCAATCTTGTTGGGTATCTAGTCGGGGTTGCGTGCGGCCAACTGTAAGATAGTCCTGGAAGAAATCGAGGCAAAGGGTATTACCACTTCGGTGCAGTCATCGCAATAAAATTTTAAATCGGTCGGACCTACGTCAAGTTTTGTCATGATGAGTACCTGCAATTTTGCTGGATACAAATTTGCCAATTCTTACGTACCTGCAGATAGCTTGTTCCGTTATCTCTCACTCCTCCTATTGCCACATCATAGTAACTCATATTATTTGGAGCTACTTCGGCAACACCGAAACCAACCCAACCTGTGGTTCTTACTTGCACCATAAACTCCAATTTGTCTGAGTTTGCGTTATAATAATAGGAAACATTGTAATTTCCTTTGCCATCAAGCATGATAAGGTCGGAATGTAGCACTGGCTGGACTACAGCTGTGGATGGTACCATCATCATAGTCGGCGTTGGAGCGATAGCCGGGATAAGTGTGACACTGTAAACCCCTCTATAGTCATTTCCATGGTGTTTAAGCTCGTCGCTCATAGGATGATATGCCCACACGATATAAATTGGCATTCCTTTCTGGAAGAGATAAATACAAACCAATGTATACTCATACATGCGGGCTGCTATCATTTTAAAGTAACACAGGAAATACTGATGGAAATATTGATTTTTCGTAAAAAGGATTATCTAATGTAATCTAAATTCCTTGCGTTGTGTTGAGTTATGAAGCATTGCAGCGAGATTAAGAATGAATAATCTCTATTTTGGCTTAATAACCATGAATAAACAGAAAATCTTTGGCACTCGTTCGATTTCAAAAAGGTGTCTGACATATGGTGCATCAACGAGAACGAGGGAAAAGCGGTCAGTTAGTGTTAAATACGCTGGCTGGCGAGTCGAGAGGTCTGCGTTGGAGACCGATCGGTCGTTGCGTTAAGCCCATCGACTATCAGAGCGGATACCGCCAAAGGGGTAGGGTCGCATCAGGAATGTTGAGGGGATTTGACAAATCGGGGTTTGAGTAAGAGGAGTAACAATATTCACAATCAATTTGTGCTGCAGAAACCAGGGTATCATCAGGTAGTTTTATTTGGGTCAATTGATTAACAATACTAGAAACTTTACACCCACGACGGAGGCAGGATTCTTTTTGAAGTGTTGTTGTCCCCTTTATAGTGATATCACGAAAGGTGAAAATACGGGCCATATCTACCCATACCCTTCCCTTTCATTACTTTTCAGTGTTTGTACCATGTCTTTGGTACATTGGGACCCGGAGACACTGTCGTCAGCAAACCTTGAGTAACATGAAAAGATAGGATCTTCAAGTACTTTAATAAAGGGTTATGACAGTGTTCTTTTACACTTCCTTTCACGACCATGAACGACACAATTTTCAGAGGTGATTTAAAGTCAGTTAGACTCTTACCGGAATAGCGGTATCATTTTGAAGGTCAGTGGTGTTTCGCATGCGGTAAAATTTCAACGTCGTCACATTGTTCGCTTCACTCGCGTTCATGAGCATCCAATCTTGTTGGGTATCTAGTCGGGGTTGCGTGCGGCCAACTGTAAGATAGTCCTGGAAGAAATCGAGGCAAAGCGTGTTATCACTTCAATGCAGTCATCGCAATAAAATTTCAAATCGGTCGGACTTACGTCAAGTTTTGTCATGATGAGTACCTGCAATTTTGCTGGATACAAATTTGCCAATTCTTACGTACCTGCAGATAGTTTGTTCCGTCATCTCTCACTCCTCCTATTGCCACATCATAGTAACTCATATTATTTGGAGCTACTTCGGCAACACCGAAACCAACCCAACCTGTGGTTCTCACTTGCACCATAAACTCCAATTTGTCTGAGTTTGCGTTATAATAATAGGAAACATTGTAATTTCCTTTGCTATCAAGCATGATAAGGTCGGAATGTAGCACTGGCTGGACTACAGCTGTGGATGGTACCATCATCATTGTCGGCGTTGGAGCGATAGCCGGGATGAGTGTGATACTGTAAACCCCTCTATAGTCATTTCCATGGTGTTTAAGCTCGTCGCTCATAGGATGATATGCCCACACGATATAAATTGGCATTCCTTTCTGAAAGTGGTCAAAGAATAGCCAATGAAAGAATAAAAGAAATACTGAAAATATATTTTATTGCTGATCAAGATCAGGGTATTAGATAGTGTTGAATGTTATGAGGATTTCGATTGGCGTCATGATAATGTTCTGCACTTTCAAGATAGCGGGTCGGAACCTTGTTGTTTCGCTAAGCTACCCACACCCTTGTTCCTGCTTTTCTACAAACTTTTTTGGCACGTTTTTGGTACATGGAACAAATTGGAAACAATATCAAGAAACATATTTCATGAAAAAAACCAGCAATGATAGCGTTCTTTTAACGCTTTTATGGAAAGGAGATAAACTTTGGTCGTTTAGCTAACAGTTAACACCATTTTAACTTTTTTGAGGAACATCGTAACGAACAATCGTACCGGAATAGCGGTATCATTTTGTAGATCAGTGGTGTTTCTCATGCGGTAAAACTTTATCGTTGTAATGTTATTTTCCTCCGTAGCGTTCATGAGCATCCAATCTTGCTGAGTATCTAGTTGTGGTAATTTCCGGCCAACTGTCAGATAGTCCTGGAAGAAATTAATTGAAAGGAATACGTTACTTTTAAAAAATCGTAACTGTTGTACATTTATTTTCTAGACATTGAGGTAAAAATTCTCTCTGGTGTTGGATTTCTCTGATGAAATTCCAGCTTGGAATTAGAAAATCAAGATAAACCCAGGGCAGGAAAAATTAACCAAAAGTTACTTACTTTTATAAAATAATTCAAATTCTCCCAACCTCCCGCGTGTTTACATCAGGCTATGTAAACACGGAAACCATTTTACATTTCTTTTATAAAACTTGAAAATCTCAGTTTGGATAAGTATCATTTTACTCACATCGAGTTCGTTCTAAAGTACTCTGAAGTAGCTCTAACACTGTAATTAGCTTACAAATATCTTCAAATTTAAATTATGTAGAGGGCAAAGGTAACAAAATCAAATAGTAACGAAGTATTCCCACTTAGCCCCTCATATGGTCCACATCATTTGTAAATGGTGAGGCTATCTCTTGGTTTGAGAATTATAACAGATCATGCCTTGTTCCTAATAGATGAATTAAAAAAAAATCTAATGCAACTTTGTTTCTGCGTTTAGACCTACCATTTACTCTATAATCCGTATCGAAAACAAAAATTTTCTTTTCATCCTTTCTCTGATGAGAACTGAAACTCTTGCTCCGTTTACAGAGAGAAAGCGCCATTTTTAATTTATCCAGCTTAATGTAAACACCTCTATCACCGAAATGTAGCAAATTAATTTGTCTTTTATATAACATAGCAATTCTTTCCTAACGGTCTCTTGCAAGTTGAGTTGAGTTTTTCATGTCGGTAGAACAACTCCGCATTTCATGCCTCAACTTCTCTGCGTCATGTATGACTCGATAATACCGAGCTTCAGCACGACGGCTTATTCTATGTTTAGCAGAATCCGGGAGTAACGTCACTCGAGGAAACTTTTAATTTCGATTGACAAGTTCTATTGCTCGTTTCTTTTATCAATTTAATTTATCCTTCCTTCAAAGGGGTTACTGTGACCGCTGAAAGGAGTGTAATTCATACAAATTAAATGGGATTAGAACTTTGAAAATGATCGCTTAGTAGAGGATGAGCCCTGAAAACGGTTTTCTCGATACACATTTGAGTAATTAAGAAAAAAAACTATAGTGCACACACACATTAAATTGACGAACTTTTAAAGGTTGCGTCACAACTGTATGCGGGTATTTAGGCCTAGGAAGCACGGTGTACGAGTTAAACTTCAGTCCTTCTATGCTTGGATTATTTTTGCGGCCTCAATTTATCTGCAGTTGTTTTCTATGCACTTTGTTTTGTCATCCACAGGTAACGCACAACTTGTTTCATATTTCATCAATTTGTTATCTGACCTCAAGCAAAACCAGAGGACATCAGTGATACGCCAAAGAACCTCTAAAGCTTCAAAGCTTTGTAATATAACAAAAAAATGAAAATAAAATGCAGATAGCTGTAGTTAGACGGATCGCTTTCTTCAAAACATTTTTTACTAAAGAACGATAATTGAATAATGCTGTCACCTGGTTAAGGTGATCGAAACGCTTTTGGCACAGATCATGAGTTGTTGAGCATTACACGAATTTTCTTGTCCATTTACAACAGGTGTAATTGGAAAACACAACTTGAGCTCCCAGCTTCAGATTAGTTTTACTCTATGTTCAATGTAAAGTGATAAACAGGGATTAAAAACTCTGAAAACTATAAATTAACTGAACTGAAAATTACGTAGATGATTGCCAATAAAAATCCAGCAATCGAGGAAGGGTATCAATAAAACTCCTTGCTCATGTTTTTTTGTATGAAACTAAAAATACGGTATGCTTATCAAGAGAATATCTATAATACGACTTTTTGACGTCACAACCCTCAGGGGTTATTTTAATTAAAATTTCAGTCCCTTCTAGGCGAAGACACGATTCTTAAAGTCAAGCATTGTTTACGCATTTAACAAATCCATCATTAAAAATGTTGGAGTTTCATGCGAAAATCTTTTCTCATGGGAAGTAAACATGCATTACACTTGTTTTAATGAAATTTCCAAGCCAAGTTCAAATTTTTCGTTTTCTGAGGACATTAGGTAACTACTATTAAGCGAGATAACAGGCAATGAAGGTTTATTTTATTAATCGTTTTTCTCTTTGCCAGCCAAAGTTGAATCTAAATGACAGCCCACTTTACATATGCACGGCTTTGTCGTTTGTTTTGTAATTGCAGTTGTGTGATGACTCAGCGTAAGCATTTTGAAGGTTGTCATGGTAATGCTCCAAACATTATAATAACAAGTAGGATATTTGTGATGAAGATGGTGGTCAAAAATATATCGGAAATGATCAGTCATTTCAAAATACAATAAAATAACGATTGTAGGTTTTGACGACATTCCAAAGTCTTTCGAGCGTGCAGGATAATGTGCCGGAAAGAGATATCTCTCACATCACTGATATTCTTCGTTTCTTCGCTAACTATTTGTTCCCGCAATAGGAAACGTTTGTGAATCTCAGAAAAAGCGCTAAAACAGGCTCTGAATGCCAAAACGGTTCTCCTTACGTTTCTGACATTCAACAAGACTGCACAGTTAATTCGATGATGTTTGAACGATCGGCAAAAATTAAGTGCAATTACCTAGCGGCTTTATTCGGATATGAAACTTCTTGTAATCTAATGAATATTCAATGCCTGAGGCGATTTCACTGAATCATGGTAATTTGAATAAGTTACGTCATTCGACACACGCAATGATAGAGTTTTATCTTAATTTTTCTACCGACAAAAAAAATATTTTTTTAAAACCTTGTATACCCGGCTTTAATTTATCTTCAACCGAATGTGGAAAAAAACGAAGCTGAAGCTAAAAAATAAAAATAGGATTAAACACTATTGATAAAAGACGAAATTTGTCAAACAACAATATTTGAGTATACTAATACTCAAATGGTCTAAGCTGTTTTCTATAAACAATAAACATGTCGTTTCTCTCTAAATTAAGAGACTGGAATCCGTATCCTTACTAAACTTTGTAATTTAAATTTTTTATTATAATTTTTGCAATCAGAAATTAAAGCGTCCTATCGTTAAAGGGATTATAAAAGAAATCAGATAAAAAACGTAACATGCGTGACATAAAATGTTATATCGAACTCGCGGTTTTTTTCCTTTATTTTTAGATAGTTTAAAGTTTTGTTATTCCGACCTACCTGCAGATAGCTTGTTCCGTCATCTTTCACTCCTCCTATTGCCACATCATAGTTACTCATATTATTTGGTGCTACTTCAGCAACACCGAAACCAACCCAACCTGTGGTTCTTACTTGCACCATAAACTCCAGTGTGTCCGTAGACTCATTGTAGTTGTAGGAAACATTGTAATTTCCTTTGGTATCGACCATGATCATGTTGGAATACATGTTATACATACTGCTACTTTTTGTGGAAGCCACAAACAGCGCTAAAATACACAACCGTACAACAGCCATTTTCCTCGTCAAAGATCGGCCTCGCCTTCACTGAGGAACAGTAGCCTTGAATGACCGTGCATTTTCGTACTTTTCCGTTTTATAGCCTTTTTCTAATCACTTACGTAGCCAATATCTGCTGGTGGTATATTTTGTATTTTTACTTTTTTTTAGCTTCAAAAAAAGCTAAGTGCGATAACAGAGAACAGGAAGCAGCATTTAGAGGAAAAAAAAAAGATATGCGAAGAGAATATTCAAGTGGAAAGTTTTCTGTGATATCAGGATAGGAAATCAAGGAAACCAGTTGTTTTCTGACTGAGATATTTCCTTTTAAGGTGAATCTGGAGACACCAGAACTAAATCATGCAAAAGCTGGAAACATTTGGTAACTTGAGCACGGAGATCTTAATTACTATTCCAATAAAGGAAAGTGATAAACTGCAAGCGAATGAAGTTAAAGAAGGGTAGAAAATACATA